GTTTAGTCCTACAGCACCATTTATAGCACCTGGTTGACGAATCGTTAAAACTATTTCTTGATTTCATTCGTTTGCCAAATGTTCGTCACGAGAAATTTTAGGCAAATTTATATTGATACTCTTTACTACTAATGTTTTAACTTAACGGGTTTCCTATGGTGGTCAGAAAATCTGCCAAATCTTCTGTATATTAAAAAAAAAAACATGAACCAATAGTGATTTTTTTGCAATCCACACCTTTAACCGAACGCAAAGAAGTCTGAAGGGTCTTTATTCGCGTAGACACCACTTACGCGGTTATAGTCGAGTTTACAACAGCGCACCGGTTGTTTTTTCTTTTCGCCTTTGGCACCAATTGAAGATTCCAAGTGTAGGAAGGTCCTTCGCTACCTGGTCTTTCCAACGGAGTAGAGGTCTACCTCTTCCTCTGCTTCTCCAGATGTTACTGCGTCGATCACTCTCAGAGCCGGAGCGTTTTCATCCATTCCGACGAAATGACCTAGTAGCTGTTGTCTCAATGTCGTCGTATATCGTCGTACAGCTCGTCGTTCCATCCAATGCGATATTTGACATTGCCAATGCGCAAAGGACCATAAATCTTCGGGAGAACCTTTATCTCGAAAACTCATAACGCCAACTCATCAGATGTTCTCAGCGTTCATGCCTCTGCACCATATAGTAGGACGAGGATAATGAGTGACTTGTAGAGTTTGGTCTTTGTTCGTCGAGAGAAGACTTTACTTCTCAAAGGCCTACTCAGTATGAAGTAACACCTATTGGTAAGAGTTATTCTTATTGTTGCTGTTAATACTGATGCCCAAATATTCCAAATTATCTACGACTTAAAAATTATAACTGTCAACAATGACGTGGTACCTAAATATTGCTCCAATTTGCATTATTTTGCCAAAACATACTATTATAAAAATAGGACATATGTATTCATTTTGACAGCTATGTAGTTTGACAGCTATCCCACTAGAAAATTATAAAAAAAAATACCCTGCTTATTCATAATTTAATTTTAAACTCAAAATGGGGGTTCCAGTTCAGCTCCTGTATTCACCATTATCATTTTTTATTTTAACTGTATATAAACACCGTGTACACTTGACCAAACCAATTGGCTGAACACGTACAATTAACGTCTAAACATCAAACTTCATAATACATCTACATGAAAAGCATGAAAGAAATTCTGGTAACACAAAACACACTAACCGATATGAAAAAATTTCAAAAGTAATTTGTTCAAAAGGTTCCTGAGCTTCGGTGGCGCCGGCGTAGCGGGCGGTTCAAGCGGCAACACTGGCAATGCCGCACCTAATGCTGGTTCGGGAAATTTCCTCTTCGACATCATACGCGTAAGTACAAAATATTATAAACGACCTAATGCCTACATAAGCAAAGGTCAAACACTCACTCAACTGTCACGCTACTAACGCGTATATTTGTTACCATCAAACAGTTGTTCTCAGGCAGCGTTCAAACTCAAGCCGGCGATGAGGCGGCTAACAGTGTGAGCGGCGGCGGTGATGCCGATGGTGATAGCGATGCGAATCGTGCTGCCGACGGCTACACGGAAGGTATTCCCGGACCGGTTACACGCTTGGTTGTGCTGGCCAACAGAGGCTTAGCCAATCTAATACAAGATTTGATATTGGTAAGTGTCGGATGAATTGAGTTATGAAGCGGAAATGCTTATATTAAACGGAATTTATTTAAATTTCCAGCGCATTGCGGCAACCAGCGAGAAATTCGTCAACTTCAAGGCCAAGCTTATCACAGCGCTTATCTAAATGCACAACGGCTAGCAGCTACAGCTGTCTTCATATCACAAAAAAAAAAAAAAAACTGCCTTTGCCCATGTTCAATACTCTTACAACATTTACATACATGCAAACATACACAGTAAGAAATCGCTTTAGCAAACTCATAAATTAGTTGAAATCGGAATTGCCATTATTATCAGAGAAAAATCATTGCGAGGCAGCAGAAACATAAACGAAAAACTTTTAAAAAAGAACTATTGTAAACTTGTAATGTCTAGAAAATTGTTACTTACATATTTTCGCATCGTCAAAGAATCATGAAATGCTCATACGCCAATTACATAAACTTAAAATTACCGGCAAGTACGATAAAACTGAAGCTTAGTCAAATACCAGCCTACTACAAAAGTACACACACTAGAAATGTTAGATTCTTAAGAAAGTGTATCTTTTCGCAATGAACTTAGCGGTGATAGCAAGTAAATAAAAAAAAAATTTACATAACTTATCAAGGGAGCTTTCATGTGCTCGTAAGCTCACAAAAAATTTAATTAACTTGTCAACGGAGCTTTCATGTGCCCGTAAGCTCACATGTAAGCTTGTGCAAAAAATTGTGGTTGCGCCAGCTGCTCCCAGCGTGGCTGATCCTGCAGCGTTGCTATGAGGCGCTCAGCTCTAAAATATAATTGATATTATTATTAGTGTTTATAATGGCTATTACTTCTTGTATTTTTCTCAATCTTCTACAACAATGCAATACAACTACAACATCTTCACAACTATTGTATTTTATGTACATACAAATTCCTTACTTTTTACTCTTACTTAGCCCCCTTTTTTATATACATACATATATATATATATATATGAATACACTTATGAAAGAAACATGAATTGACTGTGGTGTTTAAATAGCTACTTTATTTAAATTGTATTTTTTTAAGGTTAAAAATCTTAAAGAAAAAACATATCGCAAAGCTCGACCTACTTGCAGCACGGATAGTGTTTGCTCACAAAAACGCATTACTTGTCAAAATTCTTGCTTTATAAATGTTGTTAATTATTATTTGGCATAAATAATTTACGAAATCCTATATATAATTATATTTAAGCATTTTTTTATTTACATAATACATATGTGGTTTTTAGTTACTCATTACTTCTTTTAATTTGTAAACGATTAATTTACGTTTTTGTACAGCATATTACTCAGCGTTTTAAGCAAATTTAAAACAAATATTAAGCTCTTAACTCGTCACTTACAAGTTATTGCTTTGAGTTACTAAGAGTCTATGCAATTGTATAAACATGTGGCTCATTTGTTAAAATACTACTTATGCAGAATATAGAAAAAAAAGTGTAAATTTTGTACCGAAAATATTAGCGTACTGTTCAGAAACTATTAACTTTGTTTAATTCGATGTATATTTGCCTGTAAATTTAATTTTGTAAATAAAAGTACGTAAGTGAAAAAATTACTAAATGCTTGTAGTTTAGCTGCTGGGTCAAACCACGTCAAGTGGTCCAGGGAAATTTCGCAAAATCACCGATTTTGAAAATTAGCAGTGCATTCGGAGTGGGAGCAGACGCTTACCCCGTGATATAAACATTCGTCAAAATTATATACTTTTTTAAGCTATTGAAGGTTAAAATTAAGTGGCAGGTATATGTAATCATATATGAGTGAAACTTTAAAGACGTGTTTCTCGAAACGATATTTTTCAAAATTGCTGGCGCCATAACTCAACGAGAAACTAACCGATCGAAATTAAAACTGAGTATTGTTGAATACATTTGCTATACAATGACCTACGAACTTTTTGATTGGTTGAAAAGTGCCGATTTGGCATTAACAACCATTATTCACCTAAAAAACGATTTTTTTTTTACAAAATTACAACTTTTAGTTAATTTTTTATATTTTTTAGAGAACGTATGCCATTGTATAGGAAATAACTTTAAGTTTAATAAACTTTTTGAATTTTTTTGTTTCAGCTACTCATTCGGCCGGAATCATGTCAGCAGTTGGGGCACTTTTTTTTTTGGCACCTTCGCAGACAGTTCATAACTCCGTTATTTTTCAACATTTTTGTAAAAAAAAAAATCTTAAAATATAACTGAAAATATGCCTTATTACGTTCAAAGAAGTTCTGACTATTCAATCGCGTACTTTATCTTTAAAAAAATCACGAAATTCGCCTAATTTTTCATGCGTTACGCTGGTATAGCCCCTTAAGAGGACGATAAAATTGTGAAATTATTTTCTCATAAGCTACTGGAGATAAATAAGTGAAACTTTGGAAGTCAAAGAGAAATGTTATAGATATTTTTTCACCTTCCATTTGTGTAAATAATAATATTTTACATAATTTTTTGTCAAACACTTTAAATTTTTCATCCTAAAAATTAACTGAAAAGTATGTGCCATAAGCGGAAAATATTTACACTTAATAAGCTGCAGAAAAATTTTTGTTCATTCATGCCATTCGATATTCAATTTTTTGTGCCTCCTTTCGCCCTAAAACGTATGGCATTTATCACAAACTAATAGTTTGTCATTATGTTTTAAACACGATTTTGAGCTAGTGATCGGCCCTCTTTTCGATCACAGGCTTTGTTGCGAATATTTTCTTCTAAGGCGGTGGTAATTTGCACGATCCTGGAGACTACGTTACAGACCCACGACGCGAGATAATGAGCACACCAAAAAATTTTCTTCAATAAATAGGTTTTTTCATTGGATGTATGGCATGTAAAATCATCTTTTTGGAACCAAAAGTCGTCTGTATCTACATCATCCTATTCTGTTACGATAAGGTACTTAATAAATAAGTTATTAATCATGGCTTTATAGCGTTTCCCACTGACTACAACATTATTATTAACGCCGGTTCCGGCCATTTGTCCATTCGGCCGGTCGTCCATTCAACTTAAAGTGAGTTTCGTGATAGAACGAAATTTTCGTTTGAAAATCGGAATCGTTGGCCATCTCTTCTTGGGTCCATTCACCGAACGTGCGATGGCCGTTCGTCTTCAATTCTTGCACAAGTTGGATTGTAAGCCCGCAAACCGCTTATCTCATCCAAATCTAACATATAGCGGATATTGCGCGCGATGGCGGATGAACTCATTCGTATCTTCTTCGATACTCTGCCTCACTAACAAGTTAATCTCCCTATTTTCTTACCACACATTACAAAATGATTAAATAATTGGAGAACACATATATAACTGTTTCTTATATTCAGTATGCTTATGAACACATTTTATTCTAGTTGCTCAAACGGTCAACACTTGAAATTTAAATATGGGCTTAGGGGTTTCTTCCTTCTTTATTCTTCTTCGGGTTCATAAATTTTCTGTTAAACGGTTCATCAAGAAATCGTTTGTAGCTCTGCATAAAACGTGAATAGGTTAATACATAAGCTAAATTAACAAACAACTCGTTTACTCACCCTAAGACAACGGCCGCTAGGATGCCATCTTCTACAAGGTACCCGAAATATTAAGGCCGTTAAACCCGAATTTTTATTTAAATTATTATTAATGAAAATCTCTGAGGTTGCAACAAAACAACAGCAACTAAGAAATACAACCGATGCAAGCGCAATAAATTTCATTTTATGTGATTACCGAACGATGCTGTTTACACAAATCTTGCGTTCATTACTGTGTGGAAGACTACCGCAATTTTGTGAAAGTAATTCTCCGCTACGCCGATAGAGAAGAAGACTTCTCTGCTGATAATGAAATAATTGTGGTATGTCTGTAAGTATAGTTTAAACGAAATATTCGATAACACTTCAGCGGTATGGAGTAAACATAAATAAGGAAAATCGTATTCGTGTGGAAACGAACATGAAATATATTTGAAAGTCACGATAATGAGAAATATTTCGAGCTGCTTGAAAAAATATATAATGAAATCGAAATTTATTATTTCTTTATTTTTGAAATGAAAAATAATAGACAATTATTATCTTACAGAGTAAGAAGCACTAGCTAGCTGCCAGGGCTGACGGCTAAAAAATCTAAAATTATTATTCTACTTATAATGTGTAATGGGTGACTTATTATTCGAGATATCTACTGCAAAGTCGCTAGCATAAGCGGAAATCGACAGATTCTATATAAGAGAGTTCGAGAAATACATATTCCAATATTATGCTTATTATTATAGAATAAATTTTTGCTACGCGAAATATTTGTCTAATAAATGAAAAATTGTCATTTTTTATAGTTTTTAAATTCATTTTATTTCTAATACACAATAGTTATTTAAAATATACCATTAATTCAAGTACAAATTAAATAATATATAAT